GAATATATATATATACATATACACACAGATAAGAGACATATGTATATATGTATATCTATACGCAAGTAATACACGTAAACGAGAAAAGAGAGTTAACGTTTAACGAAACTGAAGGAAAACTTGTTGAATGTGCAACTAGGGGCAGTAGAACGTCAGAGCATTCGAAGAAAGGCAGGCCAAAATAATCGAGGAGTCGTAGGAGGATTAAAGAAAACACATGTATACACACGTACACTTTAGTACACGTAAATACACGCGAATACACACACACGTACCTACACGCGTGCACACAGGGAGAGAGAAAGCGAGAACGAGGAAAGTTGATTGTTTCCTCGGACGTCGAGCGTCGGCCAAGATGTACCGCTTAAAAATGCTGCTATTTATTTTTGTACAGATACGAAGGTGTAACTACCGGTACAATATTAATTATTCACTGTTGTGCCAGAAAGTATGCGACTAACAGAGCGAGCGTGTCACGCGGACAGAGTTACGCGCGGAGACACAGCACACCGTACACCGTAGTAGAGACCAGATACTTGAAATTTTAAAACGCTAACCGTTCGGCGACGTTGTTCCTCGTTTGGAGGAACGTCGAGGCGCGCGAGTACTCTTTTATTCGACACCGTTGTCGCGCGCGTCGCGAGATCGCGTCGGAATGGGCTAGAATTTGTCTTCGACACGAGGCTCCGAACGAAACGGGGAACTAATTTAATAATTGTAAATCGAAGAGAGAAAAAAGAGAGAAAATCGAGCGCGTTTTGGAAAAAGTACGAGTAATAGATCAACACGCGATCACCGAGGCTGCGAAGCGAGCGAATAACGAGGAGGCGCGCGCGTTCACGTTGCACGTGGTGAACGACGACGATGGAGCGAGGAGATAAAGAAATTTCGCGATATTTTTATTACTCACACACCGCTCCTGTACAGAATAAAAGGTGAATGTCACGAGAGCGACGGAGAGAAAGGGGGTAGAGAGAATTGTATTTTTGTGAGGTATATCTGTAATAAAAATATAGTTAAATGTGGAGAGAGTATAAAGTGCGAGGGAAGAATACGAGCGCGGCGATCGTAGATTTTATTGGCTCTGTCGATATTATATTATACATCTGTTTTAATATACGTTACGAACAATAAATCGAACTTTTTTTGTTACGCAATCCGACGTTTTACTCGAGCGTCAGTCCTCCCGGATGCCTACTGGTCCGTTTTCCTTTTTATCCATTTACGTTGACTTCGAGGAATCACATGAGATGAGAGAATCACAAATCTATTGAGATTTCAAGATATCTCTTTTGAGTTTAACAGTAAAACCACTGAGCAGTTAAATTGACTTCTTGAAATTCTTTTATGGAAACTTCAAGAGTGCATCTATCGAGACTTGATTTATAATACAGTTTGTGTATTGCTGACTCAATTTTTTCTAATAATTTCTCAGAGAAACACCTGTTATTTTTTTAACACGTTGAATGCCATCCCCAACCAAATCGAAATACTATAGTTCACTCAATTAAACGATGATTATTTGAACACATTTCTATATTATATATAATACTACCGAATTCAGTGTCATTCGGCTAGAACGTGCAATAATAATAATGTAATTCAATCAAATGACTTAATATTTTATTTTTTCCATTTTATGTAGTTTGCTCGATGAAATCGGTATTCAACGTGTTAATAATTGCAAAATGAAGAAATTAGGAATAAGTCGTTTTAATTCGTCTGATAGTTTTAGTGTCAAAAAGGGTGAAGGTCGTTGAAGGAATCACAGACAGGCACGGTACTTTTGATCTTTTTATTTCTTCTACTTTCTTAATAAATCGGTGACTCGAGTCGCTACAAACTGTGTATGAGTTCCTTTTATAATTTAATTACGAACGTACATAATAATGATTTTTCCGTTTTTAATCATTCTCGCTCATTCACACGCACCCGCTTACCTTGATTACTCGAAAGAAAAGAACAAAAAAACGCTTCGTTTTATAAATGCGAGCCGATCGTCGGATCTATTCTACTCGATTCCTCCCGGATGAAATGCGTCCCGACGCGAGCGATCCTCGCGCGAGACGATGATTCACGTCGAACGTTACATTACGATCCTCCTCCTCGACGAAACTAGTCGTACGCGATCATTTCCGCGATGCAATTTCAAAGCTCGAAAACTGAACGCGGTATCCTCCGTGTATTGAAACTATTTTTCGGTCAAGAATTATTCCATTAATCAATTATTAATCGATCATTTTCCAAGAAACGCGAACGATCGACGGACAATAGATCACGATCCGTGTGTGGAAAATTTCGTTTAACGCTAGAACCACCTAATATTCAATATAATCAATACGCAACTCTTTCTACTGATATCCGTTACATTAAGTAAGTGAAACCATTAATTTCGAGAATAATTTCAGAAACTAAATATATTTGTAATATCAGTAATAGCAAAATGAAATGAAAACCAGTGATTTCTACTGGTAGTTCTAGTGTCAACCCTTTGCACTCGAACATGGACACTAGGTCTCTGTTATAATACAGTACAATCGAATGGTTCAGTATTCAATATTAAATTTCCTATAATGTATTAATACATGAAACACTGTAACGAAACTCTTCTGTTCCTTAACAGGTTAAGTGCCATGTCAGCCGCTGATGACCGACGCTTCTGAATTACTTGAAAACAACGTTTAATAACACAACGAAGCTGATAATAGTGTAATGCAAGGATTGTAACGTCAAATAATTGATAATTGTCCCTGCTATTCTTTGCTACAAAGAAATAACCACGGAAAATCGGTCAAAGTTTGGCACTTAACGTGTTAATTAACCCCTTGTCTTATGACAACGCGTCAGATAATTCATTCGGACTCAAAGTACATATTATTCTTTTATAATCAATTATTATACTCAAGAGCAAACATAGACATAGAATATGTCTACAACTTTTTTCTTCTAATAAACCATTAATGACAAGATCGTATCGATCAGAGTTAAGAGATCATAAGGCAAAGGGTTAAGTACGATTTCTGTTTACATCAATCGTAAAACCCGTCGATATTCTATTAGAATATAGAATATTTGTAGTAGTATAATATTTGAAGAAATCGTCGAGTGCAAAGGGTTAAGCAGCGTCTCGTTTTCCTTTCTTCCTTCCGCCCCGATCCCTCGTACGGCAAGAACTCAGGTGGCCGCGCGGCGAGTTCGTCGAACTCTTTTTCCAAAGCGCATCTAACGGCTTGAAACGTGAACCGAATCCTCTATTTTCCCAGTCGCTTCTCGAGAACGGATTGTCAAAGTAAACGGATCCCGGGCTGTCTCTTCTTGTCCCTCCCTTCGCTATGCCCTTATCATCCACTGGAATTCCCTCTCGCGTTCAAGCATACTCGAACGTAACGACCTAGCGAGACAATGAACCCAGCGGGCCGATAAAAAGAGGTTCGGGTTCGACGATCTGCGGAGAGCGTCATCGTTGTACCCTGGATGAAAGAATGTCGGACAGAATCGACAATTAAAATTTCCACACCGGAAAGATCTGCTGACGAGTCAACGTTCGTTTCTCGAGCAATCCCGAAGGAAACATATCGTACGTTCCTCCTCCGGTTTCCACGAATCCACCGTCTCGCCGCGAATCGTCGAGTGTCCAAGCGTTTATCGGTTCGATCCGTGCCGTCTCCTCAGGACCGAAGCTAAAAACCGAGAGGAGCATGGCACGGGTTTCGTCGCGAGAGAAGTTCTCGCTCGGAATGGCTCGCGATCCTTTAAGTACACATGATCAACAGACTGTCTACGGGAATGGTATGTACATGAGAGAGGCTCCGCGACTCGACGCGGCCGATTAAACGAAGTATCGCTCCATTTGGACCCGACTCGACCCATTAACGACCTTTCGCCGCGCCGCTCGGAATAACCAGAACAGCGGAACGCGTTTCGGTGTTATTCCATTGATAGATCGGCAGCTCGCGGTCTTGCGAGTCGTCGAATGCCTCGAACAGGAATAAAGTAGTTCGAACGTTCGCTCGGAGACGCTCCAATTATTCGAGCAGCCCGGCGCGTCTCCTTTGTCGCAACGAGCATCGGCGAATTTACTGTTCGATCCACTGTCCTGGTGTAAGAATAACGTTTCGATCACGGATACAATTGCGTCCGAGCGTAGATCATACCGAGTTAAAAGGTTCCCTCGGCGCGTACAATTATGCTAGAAGAAGATTCGACGTTTCGTCCCATTAGAATTCCATTTACGCGCGCGCGACGGGTACGATCCTCGTTTAATCGGACCTCATCGATCCCACGGAGCGTATTGCTCGCGTGCTAATGCGATTCGTAGTTCTCCTCTCCCCGAATCGAATGCAAAGTGTATAGATATAGAACGGCGTTTAAGTGAATTTCGCGTCCCGGTGTCTCTTGACGTTCGTATGCTACGAGTGTGTACGTGTACCGCTCGTATTTGTACGGTCGGTGGGTGTGGTATCTGTGTATACGTATGTTGTATGCGTACGTGTGTGTACGTGTATGTGCAAGTAAAGCGTTTCAAGATCGCTCGTATCGCGCGAACAATCATCAATGACGACGATACATCATCGCGATACGCATCTGCCGCCGCGTCGAACAATGATCGCACGGTTGAATGTGCAATTACACCGCGACCGGAATCAATCGCGAACGCGGTAATGGCTCCGAAGACGATTCGAGCGCATTTCATCACACTGCGGAGCCCCTAGGCCCCAATCCTCCAGCTTTCCGTTTCGCGTATTTACAGGTAAAAAGTCTCGTGCCTACCGGCGGTTCTTCATCGGGATCACAAAATAAAGAAACACCTCGGTACGCCTAATGCCACACACCGACTATTTACAGAAATCATGACACGAGAGCTTTATATAGATTTGTATAGGTGTATATATAATATGTACGAGCCGTTCACCGGGCAAATCGATTAACTCCGCTTTTAGAAGTTTCAGATTGAAGCGATATATCTCTCTTAGCGATTTATTGGCTCTTCACTTTTGATATTTAACGCTAGAACTACCGGATGGGTCGAAATGACCCATTCCTGAATTCTTCTTTTACGATTATTGAGAAAACAATGGATCCTTCTCTAAGAAATTTCTAAAGAAATTGTTTTGGTAATACGCGAACTAAGTTTCGAGTGATCGAAGTGTCGATAGATGCAGTCTTGGGGTTTCTATAGAAAAATTTTGAAAAGTCAACTTGACTGCTTGGTAGTTCTAGTGTTAATATAAATCTCATTCTGACTGGTACCATGGAATAATAGTCTTTTGGTCATGGGGAAATTGCGATAATAATAAAAGTTACTTCGAGAATATAGTTTATGATCGAGCAAAACGTATACTATTGGAGTTAATCGACTTGTCCTACGAGTGGCTGATATATATTTATATATAATACTCTCCGGAAACTCGTTACTCGCTATTCGTAATCGTGTATATCGTTAGTAAATTCTTAGATATGGTTGTTCCGCGGCCCGGGACCTGGCACACGCCGCTCCGACCTCGGCCAATTCCATTTCTTTCTTAAACCAGTGGAGGGATTACGACTGCGAACGGTGAGTGGATGAGTTCTACGCGAAGCGATCGGCCGAAAGTTTCCGTTCGCCGGTCCCCGGTGGCTCGATGAACGGACGAAGTTTCTTCTGACTCGAGCTAATATTTTCTTACAGGCAGCTGTTCGGAACAGCTAGAAGTGAATGCGATTATTTCTAGCCAGCCGAGTCGACGAGCGGATCTCTAACGTTTCGAACTTTCAGCCGATGGCCTGTACCGGACCGTAACGCGCGAAGTTTCTGTAACACCTGTGAACCTTAATGCGAAGGGTTTGTCCTCGTCGATATTCTCGCGAGAGGCAAGACAAAGGACACGCTTGTTCGTCCGATGAAAAGTTTCGTGTCATCCGACCGACGCATAAAGATCCACAGGTTTAATAGGTGGTTCGTATTGGTTCGGTTAACGCGTTCGCCGCCGGGGCGTCTGTCCAGCTAAAACGGGGATGGAACGAGTTAGAGGCAACGAGCGAAAGTGAGGATGGGTGCTGGTCAACGAACGCGTTAACACCGTCCGAGAGCCGAAGCAAAGCCGGCGGGGAATCAATAAACGCTTCGCGCGTTACGGCCTACGCCTATCTAAGCTTCGCCCGGCGCTGACGAGAGTAAGTTAGCCATGCCCGTGTCGAAGTAACAATTCTATGTGCAACGTTCTCCTCTAAACAACGATCAGCCGGAGTGCCGTGTGCTCAGCTACCGACCAGTACGCAGTAGTCCCCTTTACAGTAAAAATATATTATCGCTACGGTAGTACTTAACTTTGACTAGCATGTGTTTATAGAACCGATTCCCAGCGCGGTCAAATAAACGCGCCGTGTCCCGCGTCCCTCCAGCCGGCGTCGCCGGAAGAGGAACCCCGAATTCCTAGACCGGTTCTCGGCTGGGAATCGTTAGGTCGAACAGTATTGGGACCGCCACACGGTGGTTCCCTGTCGATCAACCTCCTTAAATACGATATTTACGCGAGAAAGTAATGGGGTACAATGTCGGCTTTACCTTAAGATTACAATCCTTCCATCGGAATAAGTACGATCTAAAAAACGTGACAGAATTCATAAGGTCGATCGTTCTTTCACCTTAACGCTACGTTTCTACGCCTGTTTACTCGATATATCATCCGTAGGGCCCTTGCTCGGCTCCGATGTCTTCGCCGATCGATGAACCCGTTCGCGATCCCCGTGAAAAGCTACCCTTAGGACAACGAGACGCTTTCTGACTCGATCGTCTCGTTGTCCTCGGATGGTTTCCACTGTCGGCTGAAGACACGGGGAGCCGTACTCTCTAGGAGCAAGGGACGCGAAATAAGAAACACGAACGAAGGTATCCGTAAGTTTTGGGCCCTCGTAGAAAAAGAGGGATGCGGTGTGGGAAGCGAGCGCGCTCGCGAGACGAAAATTAACATAGTCTAGCTTCCTCTTTAGATACTCCCCTACGTTTCGAACCACACAGCGACTATTATTCAGTTTTCATTCTCTTTCGATTTTGTTTCAGTCTTGTGTTAATACTACTTTAATACTTTTACAATTCGCACGGGTCCGTGAAACCGTTCTAGGCGTAGGTACTTACACGCCTCTCTGCCACCGTGTTCCCCTTCTGCGAAAGAGCACTGTGCACGTAACCTGGCCTGGTTGCTGGCTTAACGAACAGAGCGTGGTAGAAAAAGGATTAAGCGTGGCGTTGCTACAGCGATAGTTTGCTCGATTAACGGACGAGAACGCACCCCCGGGGTCCACAATGCGTCGGACGCAATAAACTTTGTACAAGGCGTTCCAACCGATTCGCTGATTCGTCTATAATATCTCCGCCGTTGTTCCCTATCCGTTGAGTATTTCTTTGGTATGCAGATATCGTCGATATCCGTGTCGAAAGGGACAACGATCGTATTAAAATTAGCTTCTTATATCTCTATCGAGTTTAGTCTACAGTCTATTTATCTTCTTCCCCCGTTTTTAAATATAGAAATTCCAAGCTGCCCGGCCCGAAGGCCGATTGGACAGAGAGAGAGAGAGAGAGAGAAAGAGAGAGTCCCTTTAAACCCTTAACAATCTATAGTTCGAGTTTACAGTCTCAAGCTGATATAACAAAGTTCCTAGACTTTAAATGGACACGTCCGCTGGAACGCCCTGTACGCATTACACGAGTTACCATTTTAATTCCGTTCGATTTCCGGCACGACGAAAACAATTCCTTGCGGTCGGCAAAGCCAGCTGTGTATTGTGTATCGTGTACGAGGCAAACGATTCCCGGTTAACTTCATACGGTTAATGAACCCCTGTGTGTACACGGGAACAGCGAAACGCTCTCGTTGCCGTTGATCTTTTTGATTCTGAATACTGATTTGATTATCCGCTCCGAGGAGCATAATATATATGAAAACACAGAACAATTCTGCTTTTAATATATCTCACAAATGCGAAAACGTTCGATATCGATCTGTTTCTTTCTTTCGTTTTTTTTCCTTCCTCCCCTTTCCCCGCCCCTTTATCTGCTCACCGTCTCTATCATCCCCCCGCCCACCCCTCGCCCCGTTTTTAATATCAGCATATAATTCCCTAGCATTGCTATTTATTGCGTTCAGTATCACTGCACATGTATCGTCGACCGCGTCGACGCGTATTGCAGAAAACTCGATTATCCGCGGTGCAAAGATTATTCGCGAACGATATTACACGGTCGGATCGCTCGGCCGGATCGGGATCCCGGCGGACCAGCGGCCAGACAAAAGAGGAAACGAATAATTATACACACAGAGAGAAGATTCGCGGCGCGGTTGAAGCCTGGCGCGTTTACATTTTGCTTTTTATATCTTTTGCTTCGTCCCCTCCTCTCCCCCCTTCATGCCAACTTTTCTCGTTTTGTCCCATAAAGAAAGTCCGAAGCTGTGCAGACACGTGAAACAGGCCTAAAACCTAGACGCGATCGCCTAAAGAGTCGTTCGCTTAACACCCTTAACCGCCTACGTTATAAATAGTTTATTATCAAAAAGATCCATCCTGCACCGTCGAAGTAAAAATAAATATTACTTTTTTTCCCGTTTTGTATTATGTTTCTTTCTTTCTTTCTTTTTATCTTTCCCCCTCTTTTTTTGCTTCTTTTCCTTTTGGTAAAGAATTTCATAAACATATAGGTTCCTTCACGCGCGAAACAATTTAAGTAGATTACCCTTAAGTACGAATTAAAAAATATTTCGTATAAGTTACCATCCCTACGATATTACACGAAAGAACGGGGAACATAATATTGCGGACTCGCTATTAACAACTAATTCGTTGCGTGATCTCTGTAAATCTAATAGGAAAATCATAGATAATCAAAGTCATAATACGGGGAACGTATTATGGTATTTAAGTACCGTTTGCTGCCGGCCCGCGGACACGCGCGGGCCGTAAAAATTCGATAAAAATAAATTCGAACTTTACACCATTTTTTTTTTCGCGTATTCCTTAGGACTTATTTAAAGATATTTTTGTTCTTTTATAATCTATACATAGTGCCATCTTTGATTGCCCAGAGACTCTACAATATCCACCATATATAAATCTCGTTAGAAAGAAGACCATTGACGGCTACATTACGTTATATCTTAGCCTTTAGAAAATAACTAGTAAGTTTGAGAAACCCTGTGAATGCTTTGCAACTGACTACTTTCATCGCGTCTCTTTCCCGTCTATTTTTTTTTTCCTCTCTTCTCGTCCCTTCCACGTTTTCCGGTTGTACATCAGAATGCAAATACATGATGTCTCGTGTTAAACTGTATATATGTATATAAACACAGAGTCGCGAATTGCATTCTATAACCCGCTGTACAATACCCTAAGTTCATTTTAGAAGTATACCCATATAAAATAAAACATATCCAAAAAACGATATATACTCATATAAAGTGTAAGATGCACACGCTTCTTTCGCCTCTCATCTTTTTCCATTTTATCCTAGGGCAGGATTCTTACTATACAAACTATTACAGTTTTCTTATTGAGCACATTTTAGAAATTGTTTGAGTCGTTGTAGGAAGTATCTCGATTATTGACTTCATTTCGACTATACGCTAGAACCTAGACACGTCACGAGAGAAAGAATATTCTTATGTTTAAAGGTTCCTTTGATTGTGCGGATTTTCACGTGTATATATGTTCATCTGTCTGTGGTGTATGTATGCATGTATCTGTACGTCTGTATGTATAAGTGTGTGTATGTGAGCGTGTGTTTCAGTATGAGAAGAAGACTTCGATGAGATATATATCAAAGAAAGTTAAGAGAGTCGACTACACGTAGATCAATAATGGATTTTGGACCGTTCAAGATCTATTCTATCCTCAGTCTGACGGAACGATATATCTATGTGGTGAATCGGGTAAATGCAACCGCATTGGAATGCATGATTTGTTCATACGCTAGATACCCGCGTATAGTGTAAACGGTCATGATGCCCCAATTAATCATTTCTAGACACGTAAATACTCTTACTGATTTTGTTTGGAATTCCTAGGAACTTCAAGTTTTCCGCTCTCTTCCCAAACAATGTTGCCGTGTTCAAGCTTCCTGGAAGAAGTCAACCAAGTGCCACGTGAATGCACGGCCGTGGTGAACTCTTCACGGTTCCGTCAACCGTTACTTACATCAGGAAACAAAAAGTGTTCGCGAGTCGGTTGCGGTTGTTCGAAGGGAGAGCTGCTCATGTATCCAGGTGACGGGGACTCGCTTTTCTCGAGTACCGGGGTAATGTTCGCGTAATTTGCGGCCGGCGTGGTCAACGTTCTTCCTTGTTCAACAAGAATGCTTCTGTCTATCTTGTAATATTCCTTTCCGCTGCGCGGGCGCAGCGTCGTTGCCACTGCTCTGCCACCCAATCTGAAAAACAGAATCAACGGTGAAGTATTCGACGTCATTGGTTATAACGTATTAATTTTCTAATCGAATCCTTACCTTAGACTGTCCGGCGTGTCGGACGAGGAATGTGACGACAACGACAACGTCTCGATATAATCAGACATATCGGAAGTACCGCTGCTGGTGCTTCGCGAGTCGATGTAAGGAGTGCTGGACACTTCTCCAGGACTGTTGAACCCCTTCGCACCTTTGGGCATACACGTGGGTATATCAGCTTCGGCGGACGAAGACTTGGTAGGTATCTTGATCTTCTGGAATTGGAAGGACAGCTCGCGAAGCGGGTCGCTGGACTTGGACTTCCTTGGCAGGCTGCTGTGGTAGCACGTAGGCGGTGGACTCTTTCGATAGATTGACAGGACGTTCTGTTTCCTTGCAGAAGTCGACGGAGCCAAGGACAACTCGAATTCGACGAACTCGGCAGTTCTGTGACTGAGAGATCCAGTTGATACACCTGAATCGTTACTGCTAGAAGAGTCTCTGTTGTGACCAGTTTTGGATGGTACCGAAGAGGATCGTCGGATCTTGATGAAGGACGGCTGAGGGGAGGCTATCGACATCTGTCCACTGTCCTGGTTCATCTTTATTTCCGAGTTGACGCAGGATGTATGCGTGTCTCCTTGCACGAGAGCGGCTTTGTCTGCTTCACTTGAACATTTGTGAATCGTCAACGTTGACGGGAACGTATGGTTCTCGTCGTCCAGGTAGTGAGCAGATTCCGCCGAGTAAGATCGTTTCCTCAACAGCAGACCGATGTTACCACCGGACTCGGTGCCGTTTCCATCGAAGTAACGGCGTCGCAGGTACGGACTAGACAACATTGCCGAGCCAGGTACACGGAACTTGGAGTCGGACCTCTTCTTCCCGCCCTCGGTCATTGCTGACCCGGACAACGCAGGATTGCTCGAGCTCTTTATGCCGCTACAGATCCTCGATAAAATCTCCTTGGAACACACGTTGTGAGCTGGTTGCATCGGTAGGTAACCGGGGAAAGGTTTCTTTGGCGTTTGCTTTTCAGGATCCATCACCAGATAATCGTTCTCTCTGTCCTTTAGGTGACCACATTTTTGGCATATCTTGGACTCTTCGGCGGTTGTCTCAGGCGTTTCCTCCTTGATCTGATCCGCGAACTTCTCTATCTCCTCCTGAGATATTCCGCTTTTGGTTAACAGATCCTTGCTGTTCTCATAATGCTCCAAGGACTGTGTGAAATCGATGTTCGCGTAGTTAGCTTGTTTGGCCTCCGGTTGAGTGTCGATCACGGGCTCGACGTTTTCATAATTGTTGGATCTGTTCTCCTGAAGACAGTCACAGTTCTCCTTGATCTTGTCCTCGCTAGTTTCAGACTTGTTGGCCCTCTTGGCAGTGGAGTAAATCGCGATTTCCCCGCTCGCATTAACCACAGGCATCTTACCCTCCCCTGAAAGCTTGACAGGGTGCACGGTCACCCCCGTCGGCTCGATTCCAGCTCCCCGTCTGCAATACGGCAGCACGAAACCTGCCCAACTCATCACATTTTGACAAGGACAGCCCGATGATCTGGGGGACTGTACCGTGAGCTTAGCCGGGCAGCCGCATTGCTGTAACACTACGGCCTGAGGAGCCTGCGGCGTATCGTAGTTGGGATAACTTTTTGGCAGTGCTAGGCATTCTTTGATTTTCCTTGGCGTGTCATAATACTGATCAGGTTGCGGAGCCTGTTCGAGCAGCATGTGATGAGCCAATATTGTCTTGGGCACATCGTAATTCTCGTACGGTCCAGCAGCAGCTGTAGGGGCAGTGTTACGTGTGGCCAGCTGCTGCTTACGCGAGTGCACGCAAATTTGTTCGCTCGGCAGTGGCATCGGCGGCTTTTTCGCCTTTTTCGCGGCAGTGCTTTGGGACGGTTTTGGAGGCCTCGGCGGCAACGCGCTCGGACTGGGCGACGCGCGCTGCACGCTCGTTTGTTGCGAGCTCTTTGTTTGAGAACAATGGCATTCTACCTGCTGCTGGGAGCCGGAGTAATCGCTGTCGTGGCTACTGCTGCTGTACGAGGATAATGATAACCGATCCAACGTACGAGCTTGCAAATGGCAGCCAAGACTGTTCATCGTTCCAGCAGGGCTGCTTATGCTACTCGCGCCAGTGGTCGTCGCCAACGTGGACGACTTCGAGACGGTACCTAGTTTACTTATGCAACTAGCGCACCGCTCTAAAGCGGACGTGCCTTGACGAGTGAGGGAACAGCTGCGCCACTCCCCCGGCTGGTCGGGCAGCTCCGAGACAGAGATGGTGTCTCTGCTACTGTAATCCCTGTCGAGCTCAGTCTGCTGTCTACTCTCGGCGGACGACCAATAGGGTGAGCTCTCATTCTTGCAGCTGTCGCACTGCTCTTCGTACATCATCGAGTAAAGGGGGGCGGAGGGGAAAAAGTCGCTCGCCCTAGTCTCCGACCGGGAGAATTGACGACGCGGGCTGTCCTGAGCCATTTGCTCCCTGCTAACCGGTCGCTTCTTCGTCAGTTTCCCCTCTGCCGCCAATTGCAGCATTTTCACGATGTCTTCGCCTTGATCTGTGATTAACACGTGCAGACCTTCCCCTCGGCCGCATCTCGAGCCACCCTCGAAGCAGAATCTCCCTTCCACCACCCCGTAACGCCGAAGGTGCGCGATCTCCCACATGCCCACCAATCTCGGCGGTATGCCGACGGTGATGCAGAAACGGCGATCTTGAATGTGCAAATGGGCCGGTCCATTGGTCAGTTTCGCTTTCGAGGGCACCGTGGAGATCAGTATCAGGAACTGTTGATCTGCAAGAATTGCGAAAGGTCAGCGATCTGCTCCAGAATTTCCAACTTAGACGCGCAGATCATTACGCAAAATGAAACTTCTTCGACGTTATAAGTAAAGGCTATACTTTAATTGTATTTTATATTTTTATTCGATATAAATTCTGAATAATGTCCGTTTATAATGTTCACGGATTAATCGCGAACTATGTTTCCTGTTTTAAAGGAGAACGCACCTTCGCCCAGATTGTTCGAGATCTTCACTTGCCATTGAATCAGCCGTTCTCTGGTATCGAAGGCTAAAACGACTGTTACGTCCTGACATATTATAGCGATAGTATTTGACTCCTTATCGAGGGTGAAACCGCTCTCCACGCCGAGAAAGTGTTGCAAGCTTAAGGAAGCTTTCGTTTGGCCTTGCTTGTATCGATCTTTGCTATCTCCGTACAGTTGTAAATGGAGACAATCTGGAATTGTTTGGTTCATTAACACTCCATGAGCTGAATGTTCGATTGTTTCAGAATTATTTGAGAGCTCAGCGTTTTTATAAAACGTGTGATAGATTTTACGGAATGATCTTCATCCGTATATCTTGTTGTGTAATAATGTTTAATTGTTGTTGTTAAAAATTATAAAACGTTAAGTAATTATAATAATGAACTTAGCAATTCAACGACTCGATAAAATAATTTGGGTATTTTATTCCCTTGATACTCTTCGAAAAATAATCGATCCCTTAATTATTCATTCGTCGAAGAAAAAGAAAGTAAACTTTAAGCGAAGCCATGGATCAATATTTATTCGTGAATGAAACGAAAATGTTTTTTATTGTGTGCGTGGAGGATACGGCACGCTATTAATACAGTCATTCGGACGTGGAAAACGAACGAAATCCATTTAGCCCCTTCTATGTACACTTAACTAATTCTCCCTAAGGAAAATTTATGAGCTACTGGTGTCCCCAAGTTTTAAAATATCCTCAAGTTACAAGGGCTCAGGTATTAATGGTTATTGCCAGAAGCAAAGCTCTTCTTGGAAATTTTTTTGTTTCTTCAGGCAGTCAATCTGTAACAGATGTGCCAGCTGCCACCCTAGGAAGGTCCATAGGGAGGGATTTTTCATGCTGATAACAAGTAAGGGAAATTCTTTCAGAAGATAGGATTAGGAATGTGGTAGAAAATAGAATTGCTTTGCCACAGCATACTGAAAATGTTGCAACATCTGCCTTTCCAGATAATAAATATATTTTGTAATCAGACCCTTAGACCATATAAAGTTCAGCATATACGTGATAAGATAAAATTACTGAGAACTTCACTATTAAGATATAAGGTGCACACAGTGAATCATTGTGTAGAGTGTATTTCATAATAAAGGCAGTGCCTTCACATGTTGGAGATGATATCAAGAGCAAATACAAACAGTGTTGTAGGTGGCATGTGCAACATTTCCTGTCTGTTATCTATGGTTCTTTCACACACTGTTTATCAATTGCATATGCATGCAAAGATAACATTAAAATATTGCATTTCTATATTTTAGAGTCTATAGTTTACAAAGGATGTCAATAAATTTATTAAACTGCATGAGAAAGACATTTACCTGCAACTGGTGACAGTTTTCTCATAACACACCATCTTGACTTCCACTGAAAGAAAAACAAAGATTTAATGGAGTCCTGAGTCAATTTGACTTAAAAGAAAAAAAGTATATATGATATTGGTGTACAATGAGTACAATGAAATATTCCTGTTAGTTTCTACTAGTAATAATAAACAATGTAACAGCCCCTGTTTAAAATATTATGCTCATTTACATAAAGAACCCTGCATAGGAAAACATCGTACACATGTATTACATATTTGTTTAGATCCATTTAAACCTTATGCACCCCTCTATGATAAAAATAAAAGAGTTTCTACCCTTTCTGATCTGAATGACTTCTTCAGTGACCCCCAATGTAAATAAAAGAAACTGACCCAGCTTTTTTTATAGCCTCATGCCTCTGCATTTCTTTCCCATTAACTTCCTTTAGCTTTCAACAAACTACTTAATCATTGAAATGCGCATTGAAATCAGATCAGGACACCTTAATTTGACTTCTTGGTCATGGGAGAAAAAGTTGGCCATTGTATTTAAATTTGAATGGGGCCCTAAGTGCATAAATATTTAATGCTCAAGTGACATTTATTGAAACATACAAATTAAATGGACAAAGTGTAATACTAACAAGTACTCAGTTGTTCTTCATATTCAAGATAATGAATTTTGTAATTTTTGTATATTATTGTCAAACTAAAATAACTAAGATTTTCAGTTTTATTTCAGATGTTAGTAGTATAGCCAAAACATTATTCATTAGACTTGATGTATAGATTAATGATGTATATACAATTACAATATCAAATGTAGTACTTATAAAATTGAATATATTAAATTTAAGTAGTAGAATCTTTGAGAAAATGAATATTTCTTTGGTTGCTCTTTTGTAATTAACACGTAAAAGGTAGACCTACATGAACATTCAGTTTATCCACACTCACACACATGAAAACACACTTTACTAATTAAATTGATGTTCATCTAATCTTAATTATCATGCCACACCAAAAGGCAATTAATTTCTCATCTATTAAAACGAGTTTCATATACAACACATGTGTGCGTTCAAAATACATGTGAGTTTATGCTTCTCGTTTGATTATATAATTTTTTTCATAATTATAATCATATCGTGCTCAAGTGACTCCGAGGTGAGTATCGCACGAGCACGACTTTAGATCGAATTACGAGCTCACAAATCTATTCGTCGATGAAAAGTATACGCAAAGACACAAAAAATAATTAGAGCGTTCGATAAATCCTCGGGAAAAGATTGGGCGGCATTATTTTGACGGAGAACGAGTTCAGCAATTATCCGATTTATGTTAATTGGTTGACTGGATCTTGGGATGGGGGAAAGGTGAGCCGTAATTAACAGAAAATTCGATCGGTGCTACTCACTTTTTTGCCGTCGCGAAATTTGACATTTCCCTCAATAATACAATTATTATCCACCATTGTAGAAGGCCGCTGCTGCTACACTGCTTTTAGGTGTTTTTCTCATCACTATGTAAAAGCACTCCGGTTTACTCAACGCTGCATATCGAGACACCGTAGAAACACACAACGCTCAGAACACCATGGATAACAGCATTTCCCGGCTCACCAACTTTTTCCACACAGGACAACAACCGCGAGCTCGGTGTTTCACGAATCACGCGGCAAAATCCATACTCCGTACCGTCCGCGGTGAGCATCCATCTTGACAATCTTGGCTTGCTGCGTGCACTGCTCTGCGGTCCTGCTCCCTTTCGAGAGCGTATTCTGCACATTATCCATTCCCCTGCACTTCGTTCCAGTGGCGTAACACCTGTCTTTTTTTACATCCACGAACTTTCTACTGGGGACGCCTATGTACCCTAATGGTATCGTTTACAACGCTAATTCGTACAAATTCCCCGCCTTTCATTCAAATCCGGTACGAACTTATTTAATAGTTTTTAACTATTGTGTATAAATAATTCTTACGGATTAGTGTATTAGTTATTTCCAATTCATGCTTAATTGTTTAAATGTTGTTTGAATCTTTTGTCAATGTTGCTTTACATTTTATAAATTTATATATATATATATATATAAATAGAAAGGTAAAAAAGATACAGAATAAATTTTAAATAAATAATATTATGTGTTTGCGTAATATTTATTCGTATATTGGGATAAATTATTTAATTATATATAAATTAATTAAATAATTATACGTAAGTTCTGATTTAGAGAACTAAATATATAATTATTCCACCATTTTTTTTACCCCTGAAATATGATGACCGGTTGGACAGAATGTACACTGGTCACAGCCCATAGGGGTCAGAAGTAGTTTCTCATTATTATCGCTATATGGCGTTTGTAGTGTTTTTGCGACATAACAGGATGTCTATAAGTGTTGCTTTCATGATTTATGGCGCAGCATGTTCCCATGTGTTTGTAGGAAAACTTAACCTATATTGACATACATGCTTTTAATTCATTCATCATGAGTACACCAGTATTAACGAAACAACAACAGAGACACACTTTGTCAGCGAAGAAAACACCGGCTAAAGGGTTGCGAAATGTTCTGGCACAACCACAAGACAATTTTTGGTAGGATCTGTATTTTTTATTTCATAATATATACGTTCCTAGTTTATAAGCAGAATGTACCTACTTTCTGAAAGCTATAATAAGTTCAGAAGTCATATGTAACTACGTGTTAATTCTATACATTTTTTAGGCCAATTGTAAAGGGAGATGTATGTACAGAATTGGAAGATATTTTGAAAAGGTAACTTAAATGAAATATAATTCATTTAATACAGTAATAAAAGATATTATATTCTTCAATGGATAATCACAGATTAATGCCAGCTGTAAGGCGTCCACCTCGTATGATTCCTTGGTCTCAACTTAAACAAATGAAAAAAGAAGAACGAAACAAAGCTAAAGCTGAAGCACTTCTGAAACAAGAAAATGTCCCTAATACTGACTTAGTGTAATTATTTTTATTTAATCAATTTGTGATTTTACATAATTCTATATGACTTATATTTTTAGGAATTCAGTTATCTTGGGCATAAATGCAATTACAAGATCTATGGAAAAGGATAATGTTTGTTGTGTCTTAATGGATGCGAATATTGATCCTCAACTTTTAATAAAACACATTATTATGATGGCACAGAATAAAAAGATACCCATATTATTATTGTCTAACTTTAAAACTATTCTATTAAATACTATTGGACTTACATCTGCTGCATGTGCTTTCAAGGTATAAATATCTAATTATTTAAACAGTACTATATCCATTCTTCATCACTTATTTAATTTTAATTTCAGAATACTGTAATGAAATCACCAGAACATCATTTTTATCCACTCTACAAAAAGATTTGTGATATATTTGAAGATATGCCTTTACCAAAAACGTCACTTCAATTATTTAAGGATACTGAACCCTTAGAGCAGTCTATGTTGTGCAAAGAAGATGTGATAAGCTTGAAAAATGAGTCAGAAGATAAAACTTCAGAATCAACTGAATTTACAATATCCACAAATGTATATAAATACAGATCTTCACGTAAGGAAAGAATATTTATTCCTCCAAGTGCAACAGTCAGCTCCATTAACGAATCTACCAAGGAACAGATAGAGCCAACTGATTTTATTTCCTTGAATAATTATGATTCCGACGAAGATGATGCAAGTATTAAAAAACATACAAGATATATAAATATACATGAGGATAAAAGAAGAAACAAAAAGAGTTTCATATCCACGAATAAATCTCCGAATGTTACCTATTTACCATTGAAAGTAAAACGATTGCAAGGTAACAGTAATCGCGCGAAAGCTACAAAAGTATCAAAACAGAAGAAAAAATAGTAAAATAATATTAATGGATGTACCTTGCTAATTAGAGCTAATAACTTTTATTTTAAATTACAATAAATGTGAAAAATATGTAACTACAATTGTACAATACTGTCATCATTCATATAAATGTACAGAAATGTAAAAATAAAGAATATAAATTTTTTTATACATATAAGTACATTATATACAAAACTCATATTTATAATTTAACTGAACGAGTATCTTTGAGTCTTGAACCCTCCTTACAACAGAAATTTATTTAATGAACACTGATGTCATATTGAAAGTGTCAGTCTTTTACACATATTCTTATTGTATTTATGTTTGAACATGTTTATCAGTAGGTCATCATTCACATAGAAAATCTTTATATTTTGTAAATGCAAAAGTAAAGTTACAAGATTACTTTTACATGTATATATTTGACACCTAAATAACCATAATATCATACAGGTAACGTGGAGTTCACAGAGGACTTGAACATCCTTGTAAAAAACATTAAACCTTTAGTTCCTCCAGGTATGTGACTTACTAAAAATGATAACATAGCAATTAATTGTAAAACAGCACATAGTACTGTCAATGGAGTGGATTGTAAATGTAGAGCAAAATAAAGTGTTCCAATTAAAGTGGCAAAATAGGACACTGTGAAACACCTTCTCTCAGCAGTAAATAATGATTTCAAGTAACTTAATGGTCCCAGGAGGAAGCAAAAACTACAAAACACATTAAATTAGGAATCAGTTGAGTGTGTCATTTTTATCTTATAATAGTCAATTTACGTTCTTCCTGAACTTACCTCGATAGGAAAAATACGCTTCCCAATGTGTAGAGAAGAGCAAATTTCCTTGCTTTGAGTAATAAAACTGGAATATACATCGCCGATAAGCAGAAACAAAGTACACCCATGGAAAAACATACAATGAACATAATCAGCCTTTGCATACGTGTCTGTCAGGTAAAAATGGAATTTTACTTATACTAGTTTAAAACATTTGACATTTGAGGTTATGTACAGCTATATACTTACCATACTAGGGCAACATTCCTTTTGCGCTCCTTGAATCCAGCCTGTTTCTTCTTTGTCTTCATCTCCGCTTCTTCCGAACCATTTTCCAATGTTCGTTTTCGGTAATGTCACCGAAGGCACCGTAATTTTATACTGTTTCTCATTTTTATTGCTCAGCAGATATTCATTCAGTTCTTTGTTAAGATCAGCCATCTTGACACGTCGCCATGCTTCTTGTTTACACGTTTGTCAAGCTCTAATAAGACGAAGAGACTTATATAGGATGCTATTAAGTCTGTCAAGAATAGAAAATACTTTATATATACTCTCGTGATCGACATTAGACCTTTTTATTGACCAAAAAATACAAGACTGACCATAGCGTTTTTTTCGCAAATATTTAAACAGGATTATAAGAGTTAGTAAATTATACAATTCCCAAGATTATTTCATGGGCAATAAATTTATCTATACTTTCAGAAAAAATGAACTTTAAATATTTACCAATACATATAGTTACAATTTATTTAATTGATGATCATATAATGCTTGAAAACATGGTTTTTGAGTTCAAAATTTGTAAACTTTCCCGCCGCATCAGTGCCATCTACGTCGAAATGCTTAAGTTATTAGCACTGACTTACCTGTGGCGTATATATGAATATTAAGTCTATATTATTCCAATAGGGTCCACTAGTTCACTAGGATACTTTTAATGAGGTCGGTGTTTTTAAACAATGGACAAGAAATGCCATGGGACATTATAGAAAATACGTCAAGTCTCATATATCTGCTAAGTCCTAAGTGCCAACCCTATTGTTTAGTTTTTTACTGAAATATTCTAAACCTGCAATTATAAACAAAATTTTAAAGAATCAAGAAAACATAGGGATTTTATGTTAAGCTATGAATTATATTGGTATGCTTGCTCCGTTGCGACATATCCGTTTTATTGTCAATAGAAGTTCTTTACCTTCCGTAGCCATCTTAAGGCATACACTTAGCAAATAAATGTGAGGAAAAATATATTCCTGTAGTCAATTTTGGTGCACTAATTTAATATCGTATGATACAAACTCTGTATTTTTGTTTATTTTACAGTTAGAACGATGGAAAACGATAACGGAGATGTTGTTGACTTGTATATCCCAAGAAAATGGTAAGCGGTACACGTGGTTATACGCTTTTGTTATGAAAAAGAATTGTAATATGTTTTTTCATTGAAAATCTTCAAACGTTAGAAAAAGCTTTCTTTAAGATATGAACAAATCTTTTTTTTAATGTGCATAAGAATAACTTTGTCAATATTATACAAATATTATTAAAATTACACAGATTAGGTTGCAATCGAACATGAATAAAGAAATCTTATTTTGTTAATAGCTCTTCAAGTAATCGCATCATTCATGCGAAGGATCATGCTTCTATCCAGTTGAGCATTGCTGATGTTGATCCTGAAACTGGACGTATGACTGATTCACAAAAGATGTATGCCATTTGTGGAGCTATCCGACGTATGGTATGTCAATCCTTATTTCCAAATATATAAATCTCATACATGTTTTATATTAATTTAAATATTTTTAAATTAATATAAATGATTTTATTATAGGGTGAATCTGACGATTGTTTAGTACGCCTTGCAAAAAATGATGGCATTTTACCTAAAAACTTCTAATGTAAGATAATTATTTTACTCTTTCAATAAAATTAAAAAACCTACATGTGTTTAAACAGTTAACCACTATTCCAACCATTTAATTAAATATAAGAATTTTGTTGTATATAACATTTATTATATAGTTTGTACATATATTGCACATATTAAATATTAACTCTATGTACATATATTGTTCACAATGAAAATCTTTTACTTATTTCATGCTTAATGTTTTTTTCTTAGCAAAGTAATAATTTTTAGTATCTCTGAGTCAGAAATTATGCAAATATCATTTATATAAAAATAAAAATTATATTTTAAAAATATAGTTGCATATACCAAGAAACTATAATTTCAAATATTAATAGTCAATGGCATTTAAACAAAGTGTTCATAAACATATTAAAATATATATGTCTACTATAGATCTTGGCATTATACATATACTTTATAACACTTTGAGTAATACGAGTTAGAAAAATTTGTTGAATATTTTAAAAAACTGTTCAGTGTTATTTAAGATAGCATGTAATATAAATGTAATGTAAATTTATTATATTATTTTAACATTCTCGTTCGTTATAGACAAATTTCAATATTCATATATCTAACTTTTTCTGAGTAATACTGCTTAATGTTATATTACTCAAGTATACAAGATAAACATACAAGATTAAGCAATGTGCCTAATAACTGACACCATAAATTTTGTGCATATATCATTCCTATTATAGTTGAAAAATCATTGTGTATTATAAACATTCAACAATTCGATTTTAAAAAATATTTTTGTTGTTTGTTAGTATCAACTGCTGAAAACTTGCTCTTCATGCACAAATAATCTATGAAAGTTAATGGAAATGCATTTGTAATATTTACCCTGAGTATACACTATTCATTCTTCAAATTTTAATGCACAGATCACTACACTTGTAGGCCAAGGAATTTTTGTCTTTTAAGAAATTGAAGAACATCTGCATTTTGCCTACATAATAAACTGGTATGTATAATATTAATAATTATTTTCAATAAACAGGAATATTGTAGGCATAAATGATTGGACGTATTCAATATTTACCCCTATTTCGAAACAAATAAAACATTACTAATCCACTTTTACTTTCACTTCCTTTTTTACAAAAATGTCTTTTGTATTAGCTATCTGTTCTTCGAACGAACATTCATTTACCTAATTCATAGCGAATGCAAAAATTCCCTTAGGAAATGAAATTGCTGGTCAATTATCCAAGGCAATCTATCACTTTATAAATTTTTATATATATCTTACACTATCTTTATACACAGCTGAATCTGTGTATCATACATTTAACACAGGTGTATCTGACAAGGAATGAACGCGATTAAATCTACGGTTCTTTAGGGTTGCAATTGCATCTGTAAGATCTGCTCGTTTACTAAAAAAATCTACAATCGCTTGACCTGTTAAGGCAGATGCCAGGAACTGTTCGACGCTTATTGACCATTCCGGATAGATGGACGACGACACGCTCAATGGGTTTCCGTTCCGATCATGTGACTAAAAAAATGATCATATACACTACATATTATAGAGCAATTTATTCATTGTCAACGTACCCGTTCTGCGGAGGAAGATGATTGCTCAGCAGTTGTAGCCGTTAACAGCAAACTGTCCTCAGATTCATCTCGTTCAACATAAAATTTTTTACCAACGTCGCCTAATTGAAGCAAAAGAGTACCTAAATTCAACAAAAAAAAAGAAAAGAAAACACGTTTTTCATTTAAGTACTCGATATAAAATGTCATTGGTCTAGTCATATATAACTTACCTATTGAAGCTATACAATGATAAGTTTCTTGTTCTTCTGGTTGTGCGGGGAACATGTCATAAAGAGTTTTCCATAAAGCTATTAAGTGTCCCTGCGACATTTTTGGCACATTTTTTAGATCCAGTGGACTGTCTTTGGACGCTATCATAGAGCGTAAACTGCCCATGCTTTGAATTTCCCATGACTGATCTCCTTGTTGACTATTCAAACTTGTTGAACGAGATAAAGTGGATGGCTCTGCGGATGGCTCCTCTGCCATACTAACTGGCATCTCTAAGGAAGCGACACTTTGTTCCATACTATCGAAAAAGTCTGTAGCTTCTGCAGCTACTTCTGCTCCATCTAATATCGATGGATAAATATCCATAAACATTCCTTTGTCACAAATCATTATTGTATCTAAGAATATTAGAATGTTATTTACCAGAATGCACTGGTGATTCGAAGTCAACGGGTGTGAGTAAAGGCGGTAAATGCAGAGTATACAAAAGCTTTAATCTCTGCGTCAAGTCAGCAGTCGCTGTCATTCCGATAGCTTGTACTAATTCCCGAAAGTTTAGCAAACCATCACGATTACGGTCCATCAACTGATAGTACAATAGTACTTATGAACATTTTCTGTATTTGCTTGATCTTATTCAATAAAATTAAGATATACGTAGACGTTAATTTTCTAATTATTTATACGATTTTGTTCTTTTTCTTTGTACATTAGGAACTATTGAAATTAAATAGATACAAACTGATTGCCTTGTAAAGCAGGATTGACTTACACGGAATAGCCGAGCAGCTAAAGATTCAGCTTGACTACACTTTCCCCATGGAGACAGACCACCGAATAGTATCCTGAATAATTCGAAGTCTACTTTATACGCTTCGTAAGGAGGCTGAGTCGGATCATAACGATCAGGTTCAGATTTTCGTTGACTCATTAATTCTTCCCTAATTAAACTTAGCAGATCCTAAATATAAATATAATTATATTTTACTGATATCTCATTACAACGCATATAAACATAATTATAATAATTCCACCTGTAATTCTTCCAGCGTCATGTATTTGTCACCAACAACACTTCTGATTACATTCTTTTCGATACCCTCTTCTAAACTTTGAACTACCCTAAGTCTATGTTTCAAACGAAGCCTTTCTATTCCACCAATAGTCAATGTTCCATATCTTGAATATGCTTCATATATTAAAGTTTGAACAGATATACTCTAAAACAAACGTGTAAATGGGTTTATGAATTTGTATTTATTTACACGCGTGAAGATTATTCATGCAAGTATTCCTACTCTGTTGGGAGTTGCACTATCAACTGGTCTAGGCAATATAGGTCCCTCGTCATTGTATACACCTCCAAGATAATCTGTTAACAACTGCATAGCTTCACCATCGTCACGACAATTAAGCAATTTATCTTGATTCCATTCCAGTACTGTCAATGCTATCTGACACAGGAAGAAAGACCTGTTTACTTCAAATTTCTTCTTTATGTACTTTAGTTCTGTATTCATTAGAAAGGATATCAATGAAGTTCAAAATTTCCTCGAGAAAAGATTAATATAAAAAAAAAAGATCAAAGTATGTACATATATTCATTACGATGTGATACCTGGAAAATGACTTTTGCTCCGTCGTAGAAAAAGCAATCCATTATATTTACTGCGCTGCTAGTTGGCATAACGCTTAAAAATATCGTTAAGAACCATGAAAGTGATATAACTTTGATTAGACCAAGTTCTTGTAGCCTAGCATGCAGAGTTGGTAAATGTTCAGCAGCTAGTTCTTCCAAAAGACCTTGATCAACAAGAGCACCAACTACTCTTCTGTCATAGTAATCGGGTAATAGTGATTCGCATACATTACATAATTGCCAGAAGGCAGATTCCTCTGAGCAGTAAATTAATAAAACAGAAGCTACTATATTCATTGCCTGGCAGTAACCTGTATCACGAGAGTTGATTTTAGAATAGATTTAGTACTGAGGAAAAATCTGTAAAACGGCATTTACCAATTTGTGGATTTTTCCAAGCATACGCGGAAAGCACTCTTCTCAATGCACTAATGCCGGTATCAGATTGAAATGCTGGATGTTCCGGTAATGATCTATGTAAATCTCTTTCTATTTCCTCGTTTGCTTGACAAGATTTTCCTAGTGATTGGTCAACTAATGATTTGTAAACACCTGGATTCATTACCATTTCATTCAAAGCACCTGAAGGTAAATAAAGATTATTTTTATTGTACAGATGATCGTGTTTCCAATGTAATTTTTATTACCAGAAAATGTGAGCCAAACTTCTCCCCTGAGAGTCTGCGGTAGTCCTTGAATTATTAATTTCGCTGTTTCTGTTGTTCTGTACATTGTAATACCTCTTCCATATTCTGCAAAATGAAGTTCCCATTGTTTCTCTTTAGCTTCCTGTTTTAATGCTGCTTCGTTGCTTAATGGGGCTTTAAATAATGTCATTAACGGTGGCTGAGGTTTCCACTGATTAGCAGGTTTAGTTTCATCAGAGTTGTTATCACTTTGTGGTAAATTGTTTTGGAACGGTAAACTGTCTGTCATACTTCTATTAAAGTATACGCATATTAATTAATAGTAATGAAATTAATAATGTAAATTAAATAAAGAGTACATTAACTTACAAAGCGGACAGTTTAGATTTTGCTAATAATTCAGATATTTTTTGGACAACGAAATCTCTGTCATGAATCTGAGCAAACAAAAAGGACGACCGTGCAGTTGTCACTAAAATAGACTTATCTATTCCTGTGCTAGATGACTGATTTTCGGCAGGTTCTATGAGCCTCACCTCCCTCAGAGGTACGACTAAACTTACTAATCCTCTTACCTAAATTATAACAAATATTATTGAATGATGCTATTTTCTTTTAGATGTATTTATACATGTTAAAATATGTACCCTGCTTTCAAAACAAAGGTAATTTTGAGATAAAAATATTTTTCCCCAGACGTATCTCTTATTGTATGGCGTCCATAGTGTTGCATCGATACTACCATCCAACTTTTCACTTCCTGGTAATCTGAATTGTAATCTGTAGGCTTCAGAGTGTGCTCGAGCATCCAGATCTCTTTTTAAGAAAGACGGTTTTTTAGGTATATTCTTGCTGAAAATGTAAGCCCATTGTAATAAATGTAAATCGAATTTAATTAAACATAACAAGATAATCAAAGTACCTTAACTTGTTTAAAAGTTCTCTGTCTTCATTGAAACCACTCTTCTCATCTATAAGTCTTTTCATAGCAATATTTGTAAGTTGTTCCATTAATGAATATGTCTCGGATTTATGTAGAAACAATGAAAAATAATGCTACAAAAAATAAATATGTAAGTACAATATGAAAAATGAATATTATGTTATAAATATTTAACTTACATCTTTATTGTCCCTAGTTACAACACGTATACTATCGGGAAAAAGGATAGAGTTGGTTTTGCCCAATTCAGTGATATCTGCCCATCTTATAATTAACTTAGTCTCTCTTGCCAGAATATATGCATAAAAACACATATGGTTTACTGACAAATATAACCATCCTTGTCTAGGTAAACGAGATTTCCAATAACTGAAAAAGGTATCCAATGTTACGGAATTTTTCAAATATGAATCTATAATAAAACAAATTTACTTTTAACAGAAATACCTGCAAGAATAGTAATTGACCAATTTATCCTCCTTTGGTACATTAAAAAGTTGATGGAATTTAAAAGACATAGTCTTAAATGATTCTGGATCTTCTTCTGTGAACAATTCAATTTTTTTAGAACTTCTTTATGTATATAAAAGCTCTGACTCTTTAATTAATTATAATGATTAATGTTTTACCATCTGCAAATTGACAATCCGGAGCACTGTTTGCGATAATAGATTGTACCTTGCAACAAACAAATTCAGTTATTTCTTCTTCTGTATCGAAAGAAGTTAAGGTATCCATCAAATTTGCGTGTAGCCATTCCCAATCTTGCAAGATTTCATCATGTGTCAAGGAACACGCAACTTCTGTATATATTATAAGTACAATACAATTAATAGAAATTATTAAAATTAGTAGGAGTTGAATGCGAATATGAATTATTTAGTTTCTTTCAGATTTGTTTATTTTGGAGTACCTTACCCCAATAAACTTCTGATGATGGTGTTTGATGAAGAATCCTAAAAGGTGGGGGTTTAGTGTCAAGTACGCTATCCAATGTTCCCACCAATATGGAGCTAAGACCTTTGGTTTTTCCATATCCCTTACGACGTTGTAAAACAAAATATACTGTTGCTTGTTCTGTTACCCTACATAATTAATGTGAGTGAAAAAAACAATCAATTCACAACAATATTTATTAATAAAATTTTTTTTACTGTTTACGATTTATATAAATATGTGGTAAAAGAGAAGTTCATTGTTTTGATAATTTGTCAAAGTGATTTAAATAGCGGTCTCTTATCTATGATAAAGCGCACGCTATATATGCGATGCATCACACTTTCGATTTCTACATCGCGCTTTATTGTAAAAACCTGTAAGACCGATTCTAGTTTTTGAACTTATAGAAAATTTTGTTTAGCAAGGACATTTCGCAACAACATGAATTTTATTTTGATATTAATGTCAGTATGTAAACAAATAATATCAACCGATAAAATCGTAAAACGATTTAATGTCTAAGAAATCGCCCTTCCGTTGGAACCGAGTATACAGGAGTTAATAAAACACTGACAAACAATAAAGTACGAAAATCGTTTGAATTTCAGAGCGAAGTACTGTCAGCTGTGTTTGACACACGATGTAAACAGTAATTATAATAGTACATCAGACATTATGTGTACACATTAATTTACCAGAAAGCATTTGCCAGTAGAACTTCTTGTGGCTTCACCCACATATTGATCACTGTTCTTCCAGCACATATGGCACCAAGGATACAAATTCAAACACGCTTTATCCAAGACAATCGGAAAATTCGCTGGCTGGTCGAAAGCAGAAAAAAAAATACTTGGGAAAGATAAACACCAACACGAACTCTACTATAAACCGTCCGTCGTCGCCTGCGTTGATCTTGACAATTTCGCCATGCCTCCAAATGAAAATGTTACTATTACAAAACTCATTTTTGCAAATGTTTTTCTCTAAATTCTAT